ATATGCGCCCGTGGATGACTATATGCGCCCGTGGATGACAACATGCGCCCGTGGATGACAATATGTGTCCATGGACGACCATATGCATACTAATTTCAGGAGCCCTAAGACACAGGGAAGAAATATAACACAACAAGATGCCATTGTGGTTGCCTCTGCCTAGGGAATCATGGACATTTTCTGCTTTGTATTTTTTTAGTTATTTAATACTTACTGATGATAAATGCCTACTATGATCAGAAATAGAAAGAAGCACACAAATGCTTGGGAAATGGGAGAGAACTTGAGAGGATATTACAAATTGTGTAAAATCACTGTCATTTATTATTGATTGCAACCATAGCCTTTGATTGAAGAACTCATATGTCTTCAGAGGAAGGAAGGAAGGAAGGAAAAAAAAGACCTTGTTTTGGAACAGAACTCAAAGTGCCTTGAAATATCCTTGTTTCACCACATGCCTAAAAGGACATGCTAGGAAAGTGCCCCAGTCCACCAGTGGAGGCCTCTTATTAGCACTGGAGAGACGGGTCCACAAGCCCATTGGACGACATTTCCCATTACTCATGGGGGCCTGATGAAGATCCTCTCTGGGCCTCAATCCTGCAGACTGAGGAAGTGGATGAAAGTCCGTGGGGTCCCTCTGACACTCTGACGCTAGAAAACCAAGAGGTGTCTTGCTTGTCTGAAGTAAGAAATAAATTTAAACTCCCTCAGAACCCTGAGCTTCGAGCTTCCGCTTGGGCACAGGCTGGCCATGAACTAGTGTAAGAACTGGATGAGTCCCCAAGCCTCCTACCTTGTAAATTCCTTCCGGATAGCTTGATTGAGAGAATATTCATCCTGGGAGAATCTCCCATATGTTATACACAAAAGCAGAAGCAGCATGAGGATGTACGTGGAAAGGTCTCTGTAGGAAGATTTTTAAAGTTAGCATCTTACAGACCCAGGAGTTTCACTTGGCAAAACATTTTTAATGGAATTGGGCTTTTATAAATCTCTGGGGGGAAATTTTCATGTAAGGTGTGAAGTATATGTATACTTAGGTCCATTTTTTAAAAATTTATGTTTTATACATCAACATCCCATTTCCCCAGCACCATTTTTTATTTTATTTTATTTTATTTTATTTTGAGATAGATAAGAGTCTCACTCTGTTGCTCCAGGCCAGAGTGCTCTGGTGTCTTAGCTCACAGCAACCTCAAACTCCTGGGCTCAAGTGATCCTCTTGCCTCAGCCTCTCAAGTAGCTGAGACTATAGGCATCTGCCATGATGCCTGGCTAGTTTTTCCACTTTTTTTTAGTAGAGACAGGGTCTCACTCTTGCTCCTGCTGGTCTGCAACTCCTGAGCTCAAGCAATCTACCCACTTCAGCTAGGATTACAGGGGAGCCACCATACCCAGCCCCTAGCACCATTGTTTAAGGGATTAACCTTTTTCTATTGGATTGTCTTTGAGTTTTTGCTTAAAAAAAAATGAGCTGAGCTTATTTGTGTGGGTCTATTTCTGGGATCTGGAATCCATTCCGTTGATCTGTGCATCTAGTCTGTCTCTAAACTCCCTTCTGTTCTGGCTTCTGCATCATACATTCCGATAGCGAATTGATTTTGATTTTGATTATTATTTTTTTTGAGACAGAGCCTCAAGCTGTCCCCCTGGGTAGAGTGCCATGGCATCATAGCTCACAGCAACCTCCAACTCCTGGGCTCAAGTGAGTCTCCTGCCTCAGCCTCCCAAGTAGCTGGGACCACAGGTGCCCACCACAACGCCTGGCTATTTTTTGGTTGCAGCCATCATTGTTGTTTGGCAGGCCCGGGCTGGATTCCAACCTGCCACCTTAGGTGTACGTGGCTGGAGCCTTAGCCATTTGAGCCACAGGTGCCGAGCCTGATTTTGATTTTGATTTTGATTTTGTTCACCTTGTCCAGGATGTTTTTGGCTAGCCTCGTTCCTTTGCTTCCATATACATTTTATAATCCATTTGTCAATGTCTGTAAAAAAAGCTTTCAGGCTTTTGGCTGAGATTGCCTTGAATCTACAGATCAAACTGTAAAGAATCGACACGTTAACAATACTTAGTCTTCCAATCAACGTCCAAGTGTCTCTCCCCACTTATTCAGTTGCTTTCATCAGTGTTTTGTGATATTCAGCGTACAGATTCTGTACAAATTTTCTTAGATTTATGTACTTCATTTCTTTGGTGCTATTATAAATGGTTTTACTTTTTTAATTTTTAAATTCCAATTATTCATTTCTGGAAAAAATTCACTTTTTTATATTGACTTGTGTCCTGCAAACTTATTAAGTTCACTTATTAGTTTTAGAAGCCTTTCTTGTAAATTATTTGGGTTTTCTGCATACACTATGTCATTGCCAGTAGACGGTTTTATTTTTTCCTTTAAAATTCATATTTTTTAAATTTCTTTTTCTTGCCTCTTGCACTAAGTACAACTCCCAGTATGATATTAATAGGAGGGGTCTGAGGGGATGTTCTTGCCTCCATAGAAAAACATCCAGTGTCTTACCGTCAAGTATGATGTTAAGTGAGGAGTTTTTATAGATGCCCGTTAGCGGTTTAGGGAAGCTCTTTTTTTAGTCCTAGTTTGCTGAAAGGTTTGCTTTTGTCCTGTATTGTTTTGGATGAATGAATGTGGAAATTTATCAAATGCTTTTTCTACATCTATTGAAATGATCACGGTGTTTCTTATTTAGTCTGATGACATGGTGAATTAATTACATGAACCACTCTTCTTCCAATGTCTTTTCTAATCTATAGGTATTATCTCTAGCTCATTTCGGTTTCCTTGCAACTCAATTGTTCAGCAAGCTGTTTCTTTATGCTATTGAGTTCCCAGAGCCTTACTTGAGATTGGTATTTAACAGTTCTCACTGCAAACAGCTAGTTGGCAAAATGCTTCAGATGAAGACGGGACTGTTTGGGTAGGTTGCCTCGTGGACGGCAGTGTTTTTCCATCAAGAGACCCATGTCGTCTCTCTCTCTCTCTCTGAGCAATGGCCTAGATTCATTGCCTCATTAGAAATTGCAAAAATGGTCGGGCTCTAATTATCCCTGCTGGGCCCTCATTCATTAGCTGGAATTCCCCTGCAAGGAGAAACATCCTCTCTCCTGTTAGGGACTTCCCAGGGGTAGGTTTTGCAGAGGTAAGGCAGGCTTTCTCAAGCTGTTAGAATGCTGGTTCCTGAGTGGACACCAACACTGACAATTACATTGTGGGCACTGTCAGAAGCTCATGGCTTTAGATGTATTTCATGAGCTATCTATTCATGATTTGATGTCAAATTACCCCACTTTTGTTCCATGTGAGCCTCTTCACATGGGATTCTGAGTCGTTAATCACCTCCGTGCTCCAGAAATGTTTCAGGCTTATCTTGTACATTCCCATCACAGACCTCAAATCAGGAGTCCCAGTGATTCCTGGGTCTTTTTGGTGAAACAGTATTCGTAGGCCAGAATCTAGGCGATAAAGGTGAGTATTGCTTCTGGGTTGTTTGGGGGCTTTTTGGGAGGAGGAACTTAGGAAAATATTTTTTTCTCACACCCCCCCCCAATAAAACCCATGATTATATACTTAACACTTTGAATTCAATTCAGACTACAAAGTTGTAACTTTCTGAATTCAAATATCTTGGTATAGAATGGAGACTTCTTTCTGCATTCTATATCGAGAATCCCACCTTTTAAGGATGTTGGAATGATAAAATCAGAAAGTTACAGAATTCCTCATTTGCTTTATCCCACAATGAATCAACAATCAGAATAAAGATACCAAATCTCCACTGAGACATGATGGGCGAAAGCTGCTCTAGGGTTTTCTCCCCCAGTTCTTTTCTGTCCTTAAGAACTAGGGTTGTAAAGTCAGATTTTTAACCTTAGCACAGTCCTAGACCTTCTCTGTCCCATAAGTAACTATTTCCTAAATTGCCTGGGTCCTCTTTCCTCCGATCTGTTTATGAGCAGAACCACATGGTGCATGGGTATCATCTCCCTCTCACTAGGTGGTGGTAGCACCCCCGCTCCCTGCCTGGGAAGTGGTCCTACAGGGCTGCACAGGGGTTCACACAAGCTGCCTCGCTCTGGGTCTGCTCGGGTTCCTGCTAATGTGTCTTTAAGGGCGATTCCAAGACATGGATGCTGGAGATCAGGTAAATGCATCTACTTGTGCAGAGACGTCAAAACTCCCTGCCAGGGGCTGTACCAGTTTACATTCACACCCACGCTGTATGGAAGCACCAATTTGCCATGGCCATACCAATAGAGTCTGTGGTCAAACTTTTACAATTTTTCAGCTTTAATTTGCAATAATCTTACTAGAAAAACAAATACAAACACAAATAGAAATTGTGTTTCTTTTTTCTGTGAATAGTCTGTTCACTTTTTTTTTTTTTAGGAGACAGAGTCTCACTCGTTGTCCTCCGTAGAGTGCCATGGCCTCACAGCAACCTCCAGCTCTTGGGCTTATCCGATTCTCTTGCCTCAGCCTCCTGAGTAACTGAAACTACAGGCACCCGCCACAATGCCTGGCTATGTTTTTCTTTTTTTTGTTGCAGTTTGGCTGGGGCTGGATTTGAACCCACCACCCTTGGTATCTGGGGCTGGAGCCCTACTCACTGAGCCACAGGCACTGCCCTCCCAGCCCATTTTTTATTCTAAAGAGTTTTTAGTCTTTTACATCCTTTTGAAACTCTTTATACAATTAAAGATATTAAAACATCACCTGTTAAAAATTTTTTTTCTAATTTGTCACTGTATTTTTATTTATTTATTTTTTGCTTTTGGTTTTTTGTTTGTTTGTTTGAGACAGTCTCACTCTGTTGCCCTGGGTAGAGGGCCATGGCATTATAGCTCACAGCAACCTCAAACTCTTGGGCTCAAGCAATCCTTTTGCCTCAGCCTCACTAATAGCTTGGACTACAGGTGTCTGCCACAACACCTAACTGATTTTGGTAGAGATGGATCTTGCTTCTGCTCAGTCTGGTCTGGAATTCCTGAGCTCAGGCAATCCACCTGGCTCTGCTTCCCAGAGTGCTAGGATTACAGGCGTCAGCCCTTTTGCCCAGCGACTATTTTTTTTTTTTTTATTTTGCAAATAGTATCTTATGCCATAGAAGTTGTTCTTTCTTTTCTTAAAGTTTTATGTGATCAAATTTATTTTTTGTTTTCCCTTTTTGATTTTGGATCTTAAATCACAGAGAATTTTTCCTCATTTATGTCTTAGAAAAATTGATTCATGCTTTCTTCTAGAACTTGTATGTTTCTGTTTCTTAACATTTAACCTTTATTCATTTGAAATTTGTGAATGGTGTGACAAAAGCATCTAATTTTTCTTTCTATATGGCTATTCAACTATCTATTTTCTTATTAAAAATTTCATCTATTCCCTAAAGATTTGAGATGCCACCTTTATCATGGGCTAACTTTGACCTTTTTGTATTTGAGTCTTTCTCTGAATTTCCTATTCTATTTCATAGAACAGAATTTTCTATCATATTTTATTTTAATATTTACTAGAGCTTGGCCCTACTTTCCTGCTCTATATTTTCAGGACTTTATCCGCTGACTATTCAGGTTTGCTTGTTCTTCCAAATTAACATTATGATTAAGTAGAACCCAGTTTAAAAAAAAAAGAAAAGAACTCTGCTGGTATTTTAAAAGTTGATTTTAGAGAAAACGACAGGAAGCCATAGTGTTTTGTCCTCCTATTCAAGAACATGGTGTATGATCTCACTTGTGTTTGAGTTTGTTTTTCAGAAGTGTTTCATAGCTTTTCTGTATATGTCTTGTGCACTTCTAAGATTGTGCCTAAGTATATTTTATTGTACTTATTTCATTTTCATTATTTGATGTGTTGGATAGAGTATAAAATATTATGTTAATATGCTGACTTTCACTTATGCAGAGGGTGCCAAAAAATGTGTGTATACACATTTTAAGAAAAGAAAAATCTGTATTAAAATTGTCATACTCGAGTCGGGTGCGGTGGGTCACACCTGTAATCCTAGCACTCTGGAGGCAGAGGCAGGTGGATTGCTTAAGCTTAGGAGTTCCAGATCAGCCTGAGCAAGAGTGAGACCCCTGTCTGTACTAAAAATAGAAAAACTAGCTGGTTGTCATGGTGGGTGCTTGTAGTCCCAGCTACTTGGGAGGCTGAAGCAGGAGGAGCTCTTGAACCCAAAAGTTTAAGGTTGCTGTGAGCTATGATGCCATGGCACTCTACCCAGGGCAAAAGAGTAAAAGTGTTTCAAAAATAAAGAAAAAATGGTTATACTTCTTATATACTGATAACATCGTTATTTTTTATATTATATCTCTTGTAATTGCAGAAGTCAAATGTGGCTTGAGTATTACAATTTTATTTTATTTAAATATTTAAAGATTTTATTATTTTAATTTTTTTATTAAATCATAAATGCACGGATCATGTATACCTTAATGCATGTATGGGGTACAATGCTGATTTCATATAGAATTAGGAGCGTTTACATGACACTGGTTAATATAAACCCATCTTGCTTACTTATAGCGTTAAAACATTTATACTCTATACTTTATTAATCCAACAAGTACCCTTGCATTATGCACCACAGGTGTGATCCCACCATTCACCCTCCAAGTATTACAATTTTATAACGTAGTTTTTCCTCTCTTAAAATGTGTATAAATTTTTTGGCACCCTCTTTATATACAAAGGCTATTAGGTTTTGTCTTTTAACTTTAGAAGTTGGTGATTTACTAAATTTCTTATTGTTTGTAGTAGTTTCTTTTCATTCTGTAGTTTTTTCCAGACCTTTAGTTATGTTATTGCAAAAGAGCTAGTTTTGCCTCCAATTGCTTTCTCTGGGCCTGTTCTGCTTGGACACTGCCTCCAGCTGTTTCCTCCTCTATGAGGCTGTGTTCTGGCAGAGGTATGCTTGGTTAGCTCTGAAGGATCAACTGGTTGGGCGGCTCCAGGCTTCCAGATCTTGTACTCACCTGTGAACTGGAGTGTGCAAACTCCTCCCAGATGCACCCACCACTTTCCTAGTGAGTGATGTCTGCCGGGGCTTGGGCCCCTTCTGTTCTCAGGTGCATTGGGTACCCCCACATCTCTCTGCTGTGTTCTGCAGAGATGCCACACTACAGGCCTGGGGCACACAGTGGTTGGTCCACCCCCTCCCCCGTGTGCCTGTAGAGATGGGGGCAACTTGCCCCTGGTTTTGATGTGCATGTTTTTTGTGGGTTTAGTTTTTGCTATCTGAATTGCTCTAATTTTATAGGGAGATTTGACAAGTTTAAAAAACCTCTCCACTGCTCCATCTTTCTGGAATTCCTTTCCTGCTCTCCTTTTAATGTGATATCTTAGCAACATGTATGGCCCTTTTCTTTGGAAAAGGATTTGGAAAATACTTAAGGGGGAGTTAATGGTGCTTCAGACTGTAATGAAGGGATTTTGTTTTAAAGGAAAATGGTTGGGGGTGCTACTTTTACACACTCTGGCAAGCCATTTTTTGGGAAAACATCAGAAATTCCTAAATCCTTCACAAACTACAGCAGCAAGAGACCAAATTCACCTTCAGAATTTGGAAAGGAGCTTCTGGCATGTATGGAAAGGCCAGAATGAGGCTACAATCCATCCAGCATCACCACAAAGGGGTGGGGAGAGGCATTGTCAAGAGAAGCCTGTCTGGGGTCTGTGTTCAAGAGCTTTGCCAAAGCCTATTTCTTAAATTTGTGTCCTATCTATTAAAGAACCCCCTCAAATTATGTTATAGTGTCTTACATAGTTGTGCATATTCAAATATTTAAGCTATTTTAAAAATATTTGTCATTGGCTAAAATCTGTGCCCTAGGACGCAGTGCTATATTTATTTTATGGATTCCCACAGTCTTGAGTGCCCCAGCTGGAGAAGCAGAGGTTCCAGCCACCAGCTGAGTGCAGACATGAGTGGGATTAGGTCTGACCAGGTGTGAGGATCCATGTGGGGATGGAAGGAGCTGACACCTGGAGGGAGAGTCCTTACTCAGCTTCTCATTAAGGGCAAGTTGCAGAACTCGGTTTTCTGCCTCCAGTCAAGTTTCCCTACATCCCCTCATGTGCAGAGAGCACAGGTTGTGTCTATGGATAAGGATGACCTTGGGGCCAGCAAGGTTTCCCCAACCACACTCCCACCCCGCAATGAGGACATCTCTAAGAGCCACCAGAGGCAGGAGGACACTGTCTCTGAAAAGGGGACCAGACCAGAGCAAGCCCATCCCCAGCAAGGCCTCCACTCACCTCAGGGCAGCCTGCATGCGGCTCTCTCTCCTCATCCTCTCCCTGGTGACCTTGAGCTGGGCCGTAGATGGTGGACATGCCCAGCGCAGGCGCCGCGCTTGCTGTCGAGCAGCCAACACCTGTCAGGGACAAGGGTGCTGTGAGCCACTGGTCTGGCAGTGAAGGGAGAGAGGCCCTAGTGTTCCTACCACCCCAAGGACCACATGGTCACTGTTCCTTTTATTCTGCCTGGTGCTTGGGGGACAAAGAGGTCCTATGTGCAGATAACATGTACCAGGTTGCTGGGGAGGGGATGGGAGGGGTAGGCGCATTTAAAAAGTCTGCTCGTGTCCTAGGCAAACTTTTTTGGGGCAAGGATTACAGTTGAGCCATTACAAAGAGCCACTTTATATGAGAGGCATGGCTACAACTATCAAATCAGAGGAGCAATCACCTCTGGCATTTGTATAAATTTTCTCTTAAAGACCTTTGAACTATGGAAAAACCATTTTAAAGTTCAGTCCTAGCAAGAAACACCTTTGTTTTTCTTTTTATAAAAAGTGTTATTGCTTTCCTACTCTATCTGCTTATGGTCAGGGGGCATAGTAGCCGGATCAGTAAACCCACTGAAGATAACCCTTCATTTATCTCCCATTCATTCATTTACTCAGTACCCGTTCACAGAGCAGGCACTGGGGCTGCCTGAGAGACCAAGGCAGTCCTTTCTCCCAGAGACTCTGGGCTTCCAGGAAATGTCTAGTAGGTACACAAACCCACACCGAGACCTTACACACACGGAGCCTGTGGGTTCGATGTCCTTTCCAGACAACGCGCCGTCTTGAGAAGGGGCACCGTGTGGCTGGATATGGGGGAGGGTCATTTGTGGGGCATCCTGACTTTATAGTGCTAATGGGATGGGCACATAGGTCTGGAGATAACAGCTTGGCCCTCAGGGTCATGGCTGAATGCATTGGAAGGATGCTTCCCCCTGAGGATGAAATTATAGAAAGAAAAAACAGACAGGCAGCCAGCAGTGCGCAGCTGCACATGGGGCAGAAGAGGCAGAAACGCCCTCGAAGCAGAAAGAAAGCTGAGATTCAGAAGGTGTCAGAGAACCAGCAGGGTGCAGTGTGTCAAAAGCCAAGGTTGGGAGGGAGGGGACACATGAGGAAGCCCCACAGCCCCCATCACTGCCCTGTGGCCTTGGTCTGGTCTCTTCCCTCTCCGAGCTTCCACTTCCTATCTTTGAAATGGTGTGTGATACAGCTGCCTACTTCATAAGGTCTGGTAGGGAACACATGAAATGATAAACATAAATAAAGTGTAGACATGAAATAGCACACCGGCTGGTACAAGGTTTGTCCTCACCACGATTAGGACCTGCAGGTGAGGCCGAGAGGCTGTGGGGGAGACGGGCCCCGCCAGGTCCTCAGCTCCCTACCAGCCTCTAAGGGGAGAGGGGAAGGGTAAGGAGGGCAGATGCAGGGGTCTGGCTGGAATTATGCCCTTGGGATTACTCCACAGGAGTGCAGGGCCCCAAGTGCACTTCATGTGCACCTGTTAACAACAAGCCTGTGAAGTTCATGTGACCAGCAGACCCTCCTCCTCCTCCTCCATGTCACTCACGCTGCCCTGAGAACTCTGTATCCCACAGGCACCACTGAGCTCCGAGGGGGGGCGGGGAGGGCTGGAGAGTGAAAAGGAGCACATTTCCTGTGGGTCCACTGAATTGCAAATGGTCTAAAATTTCTTCAAAATCATATCCAAGAATTATATTTCTCATTTTACAATATGCTAATCTTTTTGGTGCTCTGCCTTTCTTGGGGTTGGGGTAAAGATAAGGAAAGAGGCCCTGTTGTTCATCTGTCAAGTGTGTGTGTGCAAAGAAGCATAAGAAACTAGGATACATCCCGTGGGTTTCCTAAAATGCAACCAAATTTGAATTCCAAGCCCAAGTTCAGACTCGGTGATGAGCCTATACAGCCGCTCCCTGCAGCTCAGTTCCTCTGCTCAGCCTCACTTGTTCAACTTCGGCTGCACAGTCAGGAAAGCCACAGCTTGAGGAAAGCAGAAGGCGGGTCCGGGATCGTTCTTCCAGCTCAGAGTCCAGATTCCTGGTGGCGTCACATAAAGACTCCCTAAAAAACTGGTTGTCATCTCTCCTTTTCCAAGCAAAACCCAAGGCCATGAGGCATATCTGGAAGAGGAAAATCGTGACAGCCCAGAGGGTCAACTGCATGGCGTCTTGTCCATTCCCCAGAGAGCTGTCTTCCTGTCCCCAACTGCTGACAGGACCCACAAACAGTCCCTGCCTCGATTCCCAACCCCCCTCCCAGGAGGTGCGGCCTCCCTCCAGAGACCTGTGTTCTCTGAAGCTCACTCTCCTCAAATGAAAACTGAGGATTAGTTTTCATAGGATTTTATGAGAATTAGTTTTCGTTCCTCATAGGATTTTATGAGAATTAAAGAACAGGCCCACTTGGAGCTTGGTTCAGGGCCAGGCTCCAAGTTTTTCCTCTCACTGCTTCTTAAATAAAGCTCTAAAGAAAAGCAACACACTTCGACCATGAAGCCACCTCTCCCTTTCCTTTCCAGGCCCCTCTGATGCAAGGAGCCTCTACCACGGAAGGCCTTTCTTACCATTAGTGGCTGGGTGACAAAAACACAGCAGGCCACGGAGAGGGACAGCAGATGCAGCCACCACACACACTGCGCCGGGCTGAACCTGCCCCAGGGACAGAGTGGTCAGTGCCCACGAAGGAGCAGGGTGAGAACGGGGGCCGAGAGGGCAGTGCCTGAGCTACTGCAGGAGCATGGGTGGGAAGGGGGCTGCCGCCAGGCGGGGTCTTTCTGCATGTTGGAGGAGAGTCCCTTCCCGCCAAAAGGACATCAACCTCCCTGAGGCTGCCCAGTGGGAAAGCAAAAGGAAAACCCAACACAAGTTGGAAGAGAGGCAGAGAAAGGAAGGGGCGGACAAGGTGTTAGGGTGTGGTGATGATGATAATAATAATAATTATAGTAATAGCAACAACACAACAAAGCTGACCTTGTGGAGCCTAGCAGGATGACGTTCAATAAAACCTTGTGCACTAAGTGCTCTGATATCCCTGCTTTACAGAAGGGCACACTGGGGTATGGGGAGATGTTAGTATCCTGCTCGTCCTCACAGACTGATCCAACAGGCACAGTGGGGGAAAGGATTGGGGGGAACGGCCTTGACCTTTCAGCTCCTCTTCATGGTTTATGGAGACCTGGGCCCACAGAGCCACAGTGAGTGACCCCATGGTCACCAATGGTGGCCCGAGCTGCATGGGAGCCATGGGGTCAGTGTACGCAGAGGGGCGGAGTGGGAGCCTATGACCTATGCATCATAATCCCCATCTCACAGAAAGGTGCACCAGCTCAGAGCCTGCCTGCTGGGTTCTGTCCTTTCTCAGTGGGAGTCCTGTGGATTCTTGTTTAATACCTGGGCTCCATGCAGGCTGGCTGCTGTCACAGAACTGGCTGGGTGGGATTTGCATATGATTCAATTCCTCGCTTCCTCCCTAACCAGGAGGCAGGAAGGGGAAATGAGGGAGAGAGGAGCAGGAAGTGGCATATGGTGCCTGCATGGGGATAGTTCCTAGAAGCGCAGAGATTTCCTTACATTTCATCTGAAGACCTGAGGATATGTGAAAACCTTCATGACTCACCTGTAGCCTAGAAATCCTGTCCCCATGCCACAGCCCAGGGAAAGCGTCACACAAATGGCCCACACTGCAGAGCCTGCCCATGGCAAAGGGGCCCTCCTTCGGGGTGCGACTCCTGCCAGACCACTGCTGGGGGCTGTGGAAGGAACAAGAGATCAGAAGCTGGGCAGGTGAGCGGCCTGAGTGCCTCCCTCCTGAGAGGAGCACTGGCCAATTCCATATGTCACCCTGAGTGGGCTACAAGGGGCCCAGACATTCGCCAGATGTTATTCTGGGTGGGGGGGTGGGGGTGGGGTGTATGTGTGATGTTATCTCCAGATGACATTAACCCCTGAGTCAGCAGACCGAGAAAAGTCCATTGTGTGGGTGGGTCTCATCCCGTCCATTGGTGCCCACTGTGTGGCTGGGCCTCATCCCGTCCATTGGTGCCTACTGTGTGGCTGGGTCTCATCCCGTCCATGGGGCCCACTGCGTGGCTGGGCCTCATCCCGTCCATTGGTGCCCACTGCGTGGCTGGGTCTCATCCCGTCCATTGGTGCCCACTGTGTGGCTGGGTCTCATCCCGTCCATTGGTGCCCACTGTGTGGCTGGGTCTCATCCCGTCCATTGGTGCCCACTGTGTGGCTGGGCCTCATCCCGTCCATGGGGCCCACTGCGTGGCTGGGCCTCATCCTGTCCATGGGGCCCACTGTGTGGCTGGG